CTCAGATGCTTAGCTCAGCAGGGAAGGAAGTTCTCATCAAGTATTCAAGCCCTTCCTGTCTATACAATGGCTTGTTTCACTCTGCCAATCTCTATTTGCTCTGAAATCACAAGATTATGTGCAAAGTTCTGGTGGAAGTCTGGGACTGACCAAGCACATGGAATCCATTGGAAGAGCTGGAACCATCTTTCTCTTCCCAAAGAAAATGGAGGCTTATCTTTCATTGATCTACCACTCTTCAACAAAGCTTTGATCTGTAAACAGCTCTGGAGAATTGCCACAAACCCAGAGCTTCTTGTCAGCAGAATTCTGAAGGAAAGGTACTTCCCTAATTGCTCTCTGGTTCATGCTTCTAGAACTTCTAATGGCTCTTGGATGTGGAATTGTTGGATGCAAGTTCTCCCTTACTTTGCTAAATGCCTTAACATTGAAATCAGAAGTGGTGTGCAGACTAAAATCACTGATCTAAACTGGATTCCAAATCACATCAAACCCTGTCCTTCTCTCATACCTATTGCAAGAGATCATTTGATTTGGGTTAGGGATTTATTGAACAATGAGGGTACTCAGTGGAATGACTGGTTATTAAAGCAGGTGTTTGATGAAGTTGATTGTTCTGCTATCCTGAAAATTACCACTATTTCTCCTTCCAGAGAGGACAGGTTATATTGGGGCTTGAATAAGAAAGGTTTATTTTCAGTATCTCAGACTTATGCTCATCTGCTGTCTTCTAAAATTCATAAGATGGACCCCCCAGAAAGCAGTTCTTCAGCTCTCCTCCAAAAATCCATATCTTTCAGACACTGGAAGCTTAAGTTACCAGGTAAAATCAAGATATTTCTCTGGAAGTGTCTTGCTGACTCACTTCCTGTAACTACCAAACTGAGAAGGAGGGGAATAGACTTGGAGTCTACTTGCACTTTGTGTGGTGAAGCAGCTGAAACAGTAGAACACTTGTTCTTCTCATGCAGTAGGGCAGTAAATTGCTGGAAGCTTAGTCCAGTTCAATGGGATGGTTTACTATGTTGTACTGACTCTTTTAAAACTTGGTGGTATCATGTCTGCTCTCTAGACAATTCTGATGTTGCCGAGGCTCGTATTCTTCTTTCGACTTACATACTCTGGTGGCTCTGGAAGTCCAGAAACTTATGGATATTTCAAAACACTCGCATCCCGGAACCCGTCTTGGTCAAATTGGCTTCTGAAGACTGGATGGAGTTCTCTTCGGCAACTTCTTATTCTTTTGTTTAGTTTTATGTTGGCTTTGTGTTTTAGTCTTGCTCTTTTATTTTCCTTGCTAGGCTCTTTGAGCAGTGGCGGGTGTTTTTTTATCTAGTTTGTTGTTGTTTCTTTCAGTGATTAGTCTTTGTTGAGGTTCTAGACCGCTTGTTGCGCGTCTCTCACTTTTTCTTTTCTTTTCCAGTTGTTTGGTTGTAATTCGAACTCAGTTCGCCTTTTGTTTGTTATATAGTTATCTCTATCGTTCCGGAAAAAAAAAAAAAAAAAAAAAAAAAAAAAAAAAAAAAAAAAGATACCTTAATTACTCTAATCATGTGAATTTGGTTGATTTACCTAAATATGAGAATTTGGGCTGCAATATCAATTATGTGATTTAGTAACAATCTTTCAACTAAATTGTGTAATCATTTATTTCATAAATGTTTTATATTTTTCGTGTAATTCTTTTGTGAAATGCATCTTTAATATACCTTACTTACGCAAATTATATAAATCTAAATGATTTATTCAATCTGCAAATAATTACTAGAATTATGAAAATATCAAATAAAATATTCAATTATGCGATTTGCAAAAAATTATCCTAAAAATATTGTGTTAATGGCAGCTGTTATTTAAATATTATTTAATAATTTTATTTATTTTTTATGTATTTAATTATTCAAATTGTAGATAATTAAAGATTTATCCTTCTTTTCTTTCGCCCAAAAAACCCTTCGAAGCTCGTCGCCCAATTTTCGATCTGGTCGCCTTCTTCTGCGACGGATTAACTCGGCCAGGGGTCGTCCTTGACCACCTGGCCCACTCACGGTGCTTCGCTCCTTCGATTTGGCTGTGGATTATGTGGAGAGCAGTGGTCGGGTCGGTGGTCATGGTTGGGGTCTCGGTGGGTGGTGGCGGTCTTGCTCGGGCGGCGTTCGGAGGTCGATTGAAAGCGCCTTTTTCGATTGACGGAGGTGCGCTGGTTCGTATTGGTGTGCCCCCCTTGGGTCCTCCTCTACGGCTGCGGGTTGGGGCTTTCCGGCGGGGCTCTCGCCTTTTTGGGAGGGTGTTGCTGGTCGTCTCGGGTAATTTGTGGTGGTGTTGGGGGGCGGGAGCTGTGGTGTGGGTTGGGAGCCCGGTTGTAGTGCTGTTTTGGTGCGGCAGCCGGGTTTGAGGGCTGGGGCCTATCACGTCTTTCCTTGTTCGGCTAGTGGTGTTAGGCGGGGAGGGATTGGGTCCTATTGAGCTTGACTAGTGGTGTTAGGCGCGTTCGGTGGGGCCGACGTGGTGGCTGCGTGGGTTCTCTCGGTTAGAGATGGGCCGATTCGGGATTGTCTCGAGTGTTGAGGGCACCTACTGTATAGGCGTTCGTGCAGTTTCGGTAGCGGTTCTCGGGCTTGAGATTTTCTTGTGTCGGTTGTTCGCCGTTGTTTGAGTGTAGTCCGGATCGTAGGGGAAGGGCTCCGTTTTTTCGTTTAGTGTTGCTGTTTTGCTGTATTTTGTTGTGTGTGTGTTTGGGGTGTTTATGTTGTGTGCTTTTTGTGTTTTTGGTTTGGGCTGTTTAGTCTCGGTTCGGCCCGAGTGTAGCCTTTATTCTCCTGTTGGGAGTTTACATCCGGTATTACCCTATTGGGGTTTTTTTTTTATTTGTGTGTTTTTTGGTATTACCCTGTTGGGGTATTTTTATTTTTGTGTTGGTAGTATGCTAGTATTCTAGCATTGCTAGTTTGTAATCCGTCTAGGTTGCATTGGTTGTGTGTAACCTCTCATTCCCCGGCTTCGGGGCTCGTCTGTGTAATTTGCCTGTTTGGGCCTTTTTTATGAGTATTTTTATGCCGTTGGAAAAAAAAATGTAGATAATTAAAGAAACAATTAGACCATAAAATATACATTTTTAAGATTCACTAACTACACAGTAGAGTAAATTTGGTTGATTTATTAAATAATACTTTATTTTATAAAATTATTCCAAGTAATTATATTAACGACAACTTCTATTTAATTATTTTTTAATAACTATTTTTTGGGTCCTTGACCGTATGTGTCGTGTACTAATTTTAAATATATAAATTTAATGAAATTTTGCACAATTTATATTTCATATAACATTTTCAACAAATTAATATAGGTAAGTTGTATTACATATTAATCTCATATTTTTAATTTATAAATATTATTTAATGAGTATTTTTAATCTATAAATATTACACAATATTTCTTACCCGTGCATCGCACGGGATTTGTACTAGTATACAATACAAGAAAATGATGAAATTCCAACGGATAATTATTCCAATAAAATTATTCCAACAGCAATTCCAACGAATATTTCAATACTATTATTTCTGTTGGAATTTTTCAACGGATTTCAACGGAAATTCCAACAAAAATATTCAGTTGGAATGAGTTTTCCATTGGAAATTCCGTTGGATTTTAACGATTCCAACGGTCGATTTTCCAACGGGGGTGAAAATAAAAATATCAACGGAAGTTGCATATTCTAACGGGAATTCCTACGGTAAAAAGTCGTTAGAAATATAACCGTTGGAATCATCAGATTCTATCTAAAACTCCAATGAAGAACACATTCCAACGGAATATTTCCGTTGGAATTTCTGTTGGAACCAATTCTAACGCTATACCATTGGAATATCCGTTGAATTTCCATTGAAGTATGTTACCATTGGATTTTCTGTTGGAATATATCAATTTTTTTGTAGTGATAAGTTCAAATTTATCAAAATCAAAAGGAGGGCTACCATCAAGGTTATCAAAATCAAGAAGAAGGCTACTGTCAAAGTTATCAAAATCAAGAGGAATGCTACTGCCATGACCATGAGAACAACATACGGGTTGAACTGACGAAGCATCCACTTCCAAATGGAAGAGAAGAACGGCAAGGTAATGAACCTGGAGAGGAACGACATGATAATGAACCTAGAGAAGAGCTCGTGATAAGGTTTTTATTTCTAGTCTCATAATTATACCATCCGATTTGAGCGTACTGTTCAAGTTTTAGCACAAACAATTTTCGTTCATAGTTTCTTATGTTATGACAATCAATAAGAGTCAATGCCAGTTTCTGTCGCATGTCGATTTACTACTGAAGAACCATGTATTCAGTCATGGGTAATTGTACTTGGCTCTTTCTTGGATCAGTCAGAAAGATTTTAAAGATAATGATTTGTGGTGATGAGAATATTGATAGTAGAAAAATCACGAATGTTGTATTAAGTTAATATTATTTAGATTTAGATTTTTTAAATCTAAATCTCTTGGGTTTCATCTCTAGCCTACCCCAACTTGTTTGGGACTAAAAGGCTTTGTAGTACTTTTTACTTTTTTAGATTTTTTAAAATAAAATGTTTAATAATATTTTTAGATTTACATTCTTAAAAAAAAAATATATTTTCGTTGATTAAGTTATAATTTTTTTTATTTTTGCCTTGATTTGCATTACCTTCTTCTACATTAAATCTTTTTTTTCGTGCAAGTGCACAGGTTAAAACTAGTAAATAGTATAGTAATGTTGTACTTCATTGGACCCATGACCCAACATCTGAGGTCCGACGTGTGTATGTTTTTGGGCCGAACAAACCTCTCAAAACCCAAATGCGAAAAAAATGAATCTAGCCTGCAAATTTTCTCTCCTCACATCCTCCCCAGATCCAAGTACAGACTTCATCACCTAAAGTCCTAGCAAAACCCTAAATCCCAAGAACAAGCCAAAACCCCAAGAAGGAAGAAATGCATATACTTCGACATGCTCCCACGTCTCAATGATGAGACGAGTGCGTAGAATTTCAGAATTTCAGGTGTATCTTAATGCCCACAGCATAATCGCGAAACCCTCATTGCCAAAACAGTTTAATCGCCATCATGTAACTCAGGCGCCGCCCATCAACAGGAATCTAGCGGCGATGGAAAGTATTGTGTCCCTGTTTTCCAGTAAATGGGGGCACAGTCCGGCGGAGGTGATCGCAAGGGAGAAACTGCGGGAATATGTTTCCCAGCTGAAGAACGAGCTTCTGAGTCAAAGCGAGGATGTCGAGAAGATCGAGAGAGTCCTGGAAGAAGATGGCGTCGCTCTTTTCAGGAAATATCCAGATGGGTCCGCCGTGGTTGAGCTTTTAACGCAGCTGAAGTCTTTTCCCGATCTATCTATGAAGGTTGGTATTTTTTTTTTTTTTTTTTCGTTTATTTTATTTTATCTTCTTCTTGTGTATCGTGTTGTGCAATCATTAGGTAATACGCATCTTTGCTCTCTGTGTTTCATAGCTATGCTTTATATTTTGGCTCGATTGAGAGTTTGAAGTCATTTCCTGCCGAACCATTTTGTTAATGGCACAGTGTTTGCATCTAATTGAGTTTCGTAAGTGAACATAAATGATGTAGATTGGATAAGGATTAATCAGTTGCTTCCTGTCAGGTTTTTACTTGGAGGAGAAGACAACTAGACTATGCAGCACCCATGACGGCCGAGGAGTACACAAAGGGCATTATTGCGGCCAGCAAATTGAAAAATGTTGATCTTTCGGTTGAGCTTTTTAAAGAGGCTTTGAACAAGAACTTGACAAAAACATCTGTGTACAACGCCCTAATGAGTGCCTACATGTACAACGGCTTGACCATGAGGTGTCAATCCCTGTTCCGGGACCTGAAAGTGGACCCCTTGTGCTCCCCGACCATCACCACCTACAACATACTCATATCAGCATTTGGCCGCTTAATGCTCGTGGACCACATGGAGGCCACTCTCAAGGAGATCAGTGATTTAAACATCCCCCCAACACTCGACACGTACAAGGGCTTGATTTCTGGCTACATCACGGCATGGAAGTGGGACAAAATGGAAAGGACCTATTGGCTGATGAAGGCGGGCCCAGTTCAGCCTGATCTGGATATCCAGCTCCTCATGCTGCGTGGGTATGCGCACTCTGGTAAAATAGAGAAAATGGAGGAAATGTACGAGATGGTGAAGGCTCAGTTCGATGGTAATATGGGCCCGTTGATTAGATCCATGATTTGTGCATACTACAAGAGCTCGCATGTTGCCCGGGTTCAAAAAATTGATGAATTGCTTAGGATTATTCCAGAGGATGATTACAAGCCCTGGTTGAACGTGTTCTTGATTTGTTTGTACGCGGAAGAGGATTTATTGGAGCGGATGGAAAATGCGATCAGCATGGCAATCCAGCGTAAAGCATACGTAACGACAGCTCGTGTCATGAGATGTGTCATCTCGAGTTATTTTAGGCAGAATGCGGTGGACAGGCTTGCCGAGTTTGTGCGGCTTGCTGAGTTTGCCGGCTGGAAAAGATGCAGATCATGTTACCACTGCAAAATGGTTTTGTACGCAAATGAGATGCGGATTTACGAGATGGAGAAGGTTCTTGATGAAATGGACAGAGTAAATATACCCTTATGTAAGAAGACGTTCTGGATACTGTACAAGGCCTACCAGAAATTCAATCAGAGGTCTAAGCTCGAACTCGTGGCTGGGATGATGTGCAAACTTGGATACGGAATACCTATGGATATATCGGTTTAGTGGTAGAAATATTTAATTGAATAGCTAAAGAATGTCTGAGAGTTTGCTGAGCATGAGTGAGGCTGGTCAGAGATTCGCATTTGGAGATGACAATTTTTGTCAAAATTTAAGGTAAACATAGCTTTTCTTTTTTCTGATTCAACCATTTTTTGTTTTTGGTTTATTTCTTTTATCTTGACTTGTGAATGACTCATGTATCTACCTGGTGTGAGCATGCGCTAGAAGATTTTCCGTGCATGCTGCACTTTGACATTTGACCAATAAGTAGGATTGTTCTGTCTAATTTATAATACCATGAATATAGAAGTTGTTAGTAGCTTCATTTGGAGATAAATTAGGAGTGGGGTTCTTTGTATCTTTTGGATAATTAGAGCACCTATATTATGATTCGACTGGAACATTATGCGCTCATATAGCCCTATTAAAGAAATGAAGAAATTAATTTTAGTTATTACTTACTGTTTCAGTGAAAGACTGGGCATCTTTTAAATTTCCTTGTCAAGTTTTCTGGTTGATTTAATCTTTATGGATATCCAACTTTCATTCATGCTGCCGGATGCAGGTGCATTCCATGTTTAGTTGTTCGTCTACCATTTTCTTTTGTAGGTTGTGTGCCAATCGAGCCAATCATCGGTTACATGCATACCCCATGTTCAGTTGTTTGTGTACTGTTTTTTTTTTTTTTTTTCCTTTTTCTTTCTTTTAAGTTCTGGAAAATGTTGCAGACTCCCATGTGGTTTATATGTTATCTTTGCTACACAAGTCACGTTTTTCTTCCTTGACAAACCAGGAGAAAATATACACATCAAATACTATGAATTTAGCAACATACCAAAACAAAAGTTGGGCCCTTGGAAGAATTTTTATTGTGAAAAATTCAGCATTTAACTCCCTGATGGCATAGTTGCAAGTTTCAACCTTGCACCCCAATGAATAACAATGGCTTCCTCTATTTAATGCAGAGCACTTACATTCTTGTCCGAGGAAGAGGTTGTAGAAGCCATCCTAGAAAATTGACATCAGATCTTCAAATCTCGTTATATTATGTCTTGCCTTCTGTTTGTACAATAAATCGGCTACCTGATTTGTACATGCTGATCACATTCAATTTTGTATACATTGGTGGTTTTTTTTACAGCAAATTCAGAATAAGGGTCGCTTTGATTATACTTCTTTGTGGAAACACTAATTTTGTCTCATATTTTATCACTATCCTAAGCCTACAGCTATGAGGCACGGTGGATATGGTCCTAGCTAATCTTGTACTGCTTACTGCTTATACACAAGATATTGGTGTATTGATCATAGGCTCTTGAAGTTTATGTAGATGTGCTCTTCCGTTCATTGGCAGATAGAATTAGAACAAGAACAGGAAAAAGAAAAGGAGAAAAGGTCTGAGACGAGATCTACGCAGTCTATTGATAATAGTGACTGAGGAAGGGTTCACTGGTTTTCTGGTCATATTCGAAATTTTAGATCTCAGATCTTTGTTAAGATTACACATTTGGTGGGATTATGAAATTTTAGGTTTTTACTGGTGGGATTTTAGGCTTTTAGGTTTTTGCTCCTTGTGAAAGAACACTTTCTGTCAGGCAGTTTTGACACATCTTTTTTTTTTTTTTTTTTTTTTTTTTTTTTTTTTTTTTTTTTTTTTTTTTTGTCTTGATTTTGTTAGTTTTAAATTATGGCGAAAATATGATTAAATGTCGCACGGATTTTCCGTACTTCTAATTTTTTTTTTTTTCTATCGAAACCGCTTACTAGAAGACATCTAGAACAAAGTATCTCGTTATATTTTTCACAAATTTATTGTGTCGGGTGATGTAATGCATATTCATGCTACGAAATGTTTTATTTCTTTAACTTGTTTTGTTAGACAGGTCGATTCGTCATAAATTTTTAACAAAAAATGCAAGTTCATGTTATAAAATGTTATATACTTTTTGCTTTCCTTATTTTTAGAGTATGATATTTCAGTTCTTAAAAAAGGAAGAAAATGTGCATTTGTCATGTGATACAATTGAAGAAATCTTGATTTGTGAGTGAAATAAATACAAAGGCAATTTGGTGGGCAGTCGTCTTTATTATTGAGAAGAATCAAATTATCCCACCAACTAAAAAGACTAGAGATATCACCAATAATATATATTCCAAACCAAATAAATGACAAAAAATCATTGCAAACAACAAAATAAAAATTCAAATTACAACTATTTGCATATGTTATATAATATAATTAAATTGTAAAATGTCTTGCACGTTTGGTTTTATTGGAAAATACTGTGCGTTGCCCCATCAGCACCACCAATTAGGACTTAGATCCATGCTTCTGATCTATCATTATTTAGGAAAATGCTACAGTCCCGTTACGGAACTATTTCGTATGGAATTGTAAATGTTAGATCATTATGTAACTATCGTAGATAGTTGATATAACGGTTACAGACCTCGACGGGATGATTTCGTAACGGGACCGTAGAATCTCTCATTTATTTACATTGAATGAAAGTCATCATCTACTTTTTCACTATGAATCATCTTATGTTTATTGTTTTTGAAAAATATAATATTAAGGAAGAAACAGTGAACTTGTGAAGATTTGGCAAATATTTTTTAATCTTGTTATCATTTGTCAACATATACCTTTTGTTGTTCTTGTCGGAAAAATATACAAACAAATACATCATCAATTTAAAATGTTTGGTATCAAGAACAAATCTTGTTCAAGATTTGGAATCTAATGTAAATCCTTCTTAACTAATTATGTGTCATTGAATTTGTAAATTCAATGGTATTTGAGAAAATTTATGTTTTTCGAAAGAAACTCGGCCAATCAAATGAAGTTTATTTCGATAATTTAGGTTTATAAGATGTTCTTAAATGATAAAAATAAAGGAATAAGTGAAATGGTACAAAAAAAAATAAAAATAAAAAATAAAAAATAAAAGCAAGAACATAAAAGCTTATTTTGGTATCTTATGATTATTTTTTTTAAAAGAATAATATAACAAATTTAATAAAATTATAAAATTTTATACATCTTATAAAATATTTTAAAGAGCTTATGAAATCTTTGGAACAACCTGTCCCATAATTGGTTCTGATCTCATAAATTCCATAATATTCAGAATATTTATAATGTGGGATTTAAAATCAAATGAAAAGATTCATATTGTTTGATTTGTTTTAAATATAATTTTATGCCATTGTCCAAAACTCAGCTGTCTCCTAGCCATTTAAAACTAATCCCAACAACTAACATTCAAAAGGGTTATCTTTTATTTTATTTAGTTATATCAGATCATGTCACATATTTACTGTATCATCTCACAGGATCTGTTGAAATCTACTCTTCACAAAGAATATATACATTTCAATAATAATAATAATAATAATAAAAGCAAAATACCAAGAATGCCCTCGCGGGTTTCGACACTAGGGTCACCAATATTATACGACCCGAGCAGGGCACAAAAGCGACCCGAGTTGCCTACAACAAGAGGAAATGTCTAAAAAACACAACTAAAAAATAGCCTTGGTAGATTATATCAAAACAATAAAATGACTGTCCAAAGAAGTTGATCAAAATCAACATCAGATGACAGTGAGAGAAGCATAGCATCCATTGTTTGGAACTTATATGACTCCAATCATATTTTTGGCAAATTTTTCACACTCAAGCTTTGGTGGATAATAAGAGTTCTTGGGTGGTGGGGTTGGGTGTGGGGGAGTTCACAACAGGATCCCATGGTCCACCACTTGTAAACAAATGTTGTGCTTGTGCATCTTCTTGTACAATGAGGGTCAAATGTTTGGAGAACAAAGGGTAATTTTAATCCTTTGTTTGACAGACATAAGAATATATATATATATATATATATATATATATATATATATATATATATATTTTTGCTGAGAATATAAAAAAATTTAGCCTGTTTTGGCTACACAGAACCTTTCAGGATAGCAGATTTTAAGTTACAAAATCAGTGGCAGCACAAAATCAACAACTTCTGGCTGTCAAACTGAGAAGAAAATTTCACCATAAATGAACAACAAATTGCCAAGCAAATCAGAAAACCACAGAAAGCATCAAAGATAAAATTAGCATATTACATAAAAGGGAACAAGTTTGCATTGTTACATATAAACACAAAAGTACTATATATATATATATATATATTTCTAGATAACAAGTGTAAATCCTAAAATACCAGAGATAAACGACGCATGGATTACCCTAATCCGTGCATCGAATTAGTTTTTTACGTCACACATGGCAGCCGGTAAGGTACAATTAATCAGCAACCGAGTACAGCCCCAACCCTCGTCATCATTTCGAAGTCGGTCGTGAAGTATCTTCGAAATAAATTCCTTCGCCTAATACGACAATCGAGACCGACCAGGATCTTTTCGAACGTAGAAATAAATAAGCGCTATAAGCAACGCCCCAAACGGCACTAACTGTCATACCAACCACCAGAGACTAACAGAAGCAACCAAACCCAAGAGAAAAACAGGGGAGAAAAAAACATAAGTAAACTTTTCTACATAGCATTAGCGTTAAACGCGGCAAAGAAAAAAAAAAGCACCGAGCAGAAAAGAAAAAAGTCAACGAGCTTCCTTTTGCGTAAAACAAGACCACAAATCAGCAATCAGGCCGAACGAACCTTTTCATCTCGTCCATCAGCGCCGGAAAATGATCGTTGTTCGGCAGGAAATAAAACCCGATGCTTGCCTTCTCCAGATAAAGCAGTTTCACTTCATGCCCATACTTCCTCAACCCCTCCACATACCTCAGCTGCCAATCCTGCAATAAATCCAACCCAGCCACCACCACGAGACTCTTGGGGAAATTCAGCCCGTCTAAGGCCCGACCCCTCGGCCCAAACACATTGCAGGCTGGGTGATCCCTATCCTCCCCTTCCGGCAAATACGCACGCCAGTACCAATCACGGTCCTGAATCCTCACGAAGTACTTCCCGTCCAGCCTCTTTTCCGATTCTGTCCTTTCTTGCCCTCCGAACAGCGGGTGCAGAAGGATGCTTCCGAGCACCTCCACGTTCTCGTTCGCAGCACGAACCGCCACATGGTGAGCAATATTTCCGCCCGAGCTGTCCCCCGCCAGATAGACATGAACCTTGTGGTTACCTTCTTCCCCGCTTTTGAGCCACGACCTGGATTGGGCCCACATGAGGGAGGCCCACCCGTCGTCATACGCGCAAGGGTACCGGTGCTCCGGCGAGCGGCGGTAGTCGACCGATACAACCGCTGCCCCGAGGGTGGAGGCTAGGCGCCGGCAGAAGGTGTCGTAGATGGCGCTGTTGGCCGACGAGTGGACGAAACTTCCCCCATGGAAGAATATTACGACGGGGATGACCTCGGAGGAGCTGAGAGGGGCGTCCGGCTCAAGGATGCTGACGTGGCGGGGTTGGCCGGAGGAGGGCATGTAGACGCGGTTGAGGAGATTGGTGGTGCGGTCGAGGATGACGTCGAAGGAGTAGATGCCATCGACGGGATTGGCGTTTGAAGGGACTTTACGGTCGAGAAATTCGTTGAGGTCACGGTTGAAAGTGCCGTCTGGCCGGCGGAGCATGTTGTAGGCTAGCTTGAAGTTGGATATGAGGATCCATGTGTTGAGAGGGACAACTCTCTGCATAAATTGGACGAAACATAATGAGTCTAATTGGAAACAGATCAATCAAGTGTATTATAAGGAGACAAACTCAGCAAGGTGAGATAATCTTTGTCACATACAAAGAAAAGACTGGAAAAGTTTGGGAAGATTAAATAAAAGCAGAATCGAAAAGGTAAAGAAAAAAAAAAAAAAAAATCCCACATATCCATATAAAGAAAGGAGAGAGGAAGAAATACAAGTACGAGCTAAAAGAAACCCAACAGGCAAGCATAAAATTGTGCTATGGGGGACTCCCAAATCTGTAGTTTGCAAGGAAAAAACAAAGAGGGAGAATAAAGGGAGGCTGAAAAATAGAAAAAATTTAAACAAAAATTAAAAAA